TAATGCCAAATACAAATTCCTTGGCCTAATTCTGGACACCAAGCTAACCTTCGTACCATACATTAGGTATCTAAAAAACAAGTGCACAAAAGCAATGAACGTTCTAAAAGTGCTGTCACGCACTTTGTGGGGAAGTGACAAGAAGTATTTAATGAATTTGTATAAAAGCCTCATACGTACCTGCCTATACTATGGGGAAATAGCATATCAGTCTGCGACACCTACTGCATTAAAATGCTTGACCCTATTCATCATCTAGGCATCCATCTCTCTACGGGTGCTTTTCACACTAGCCCCATGGAAAGCCTGTGCGTGGAATCAAACGAATGGTCGCTCCACCTACAGAGATGTTACATGTCTTTTAAATATTATTTTCAAGTGAGCGTAGACAAGGAACACCCTTTACATTTGACAATTAATGACATGTCAAGTTTTGCTGTGTTTGAAAAATGGCCTTCTATGAGACAGTCCTACTCACTGCGGGCTAAGGGCCTAGCGAAGGAAACCAGTGTGACTTGAACACAGTTTGATGGCTCCCACAGTATGCCTGCCACCGTAACGATGGCAGGCGATAGATTGCGACATGTCTTTCTTGGAGGTTGCGAAGCATGCACCAATTGCACATATCCAGACATACTTCCTAGAACTACAACAGAAATACACATGTCCCGAGTTCTTTACAGATGCTTCAAAGTCCAACACTTCTGTCTCGTACACAGCCGTCGGACCATTCTTTTCGGAAGGCGGCGTCCTGCACTCTGATACAAGCATTTTCACCGGCGAAGCTTATGCAATACTTGCGGCCATTAAACACATAAAAAAAATGAAATTACAAGAAGGAATAATATATACAGATTTTATTAAGTGAAGTAAAAGCTCTGTAAACTCTTAAAAAGCACAAAAACAATGTTCTTGTGTCACTTTATTCGCTCTTATGCACAGTCTACTCATCCAAGAGGCATGTTGTAGTCTGTTGGGTGCCCGGACACCACAAAATACAAGGCAACGTTCTGGTGGACCAGCTAGCTGTATCCGCCAACAAAACCGTAAACCAATGCATTCATGCCAATTCCTGCACTCGATTTGAAACCTTCTCTAAAACGAAAGCTCAAGGGGTTATTGGCAGAGCACATGGGACACACACACACAGGTAATAAATTGCATGTCATCAAGCCGCAACTTGGTCATTGGCTACCAGTATTAAATAATGCCACACAGAAGTAATACTTACAAGGTTAAGACAGGACATACACACACAACACATTCATTTCTTTTGTCTGGTGGTGATCCACATTTGTGTGATAGATGTGGAGAAGCACCCACCGTACTTCACATTCTAATCCAGAAGACAACAGATACCACTTCATCCTGCAATGTTCGTCGGTAGGGAACCAGCTTTTCACGCATAAATTGTTGTTAGCTTTTTTGAGAGAAGTTCGTGCTTTTCATATAATATATACGAGTATTCCGTAGCACGACCCTTCCAGAAAGGTCTCCGCTGCGGTGGCTACACTCAACAAAACACTTGCCTCACGGCCCTTGGACGCAAGGGTGTGAACTATCGAGGCACTTGTGCTAATGCCGTACATGTCCACCATGGTTTTTATTATCCCAACCTATTGTCATTGAATAACACCACACACTTTGGGATTCAGCCATGATGCTGAATCCTGTATGTTCTTGCTGCATTGCGGCATCATTCTACTGCCGCAACGTCAGCACTGAAGGCCCTGAGCTTCTGCTTGTTATTCCTCGTCATCTACGGCCTGCCATATTTGAACAACTTCACGATGCACCAACAGCGGGACACCTCGGTGTTTTCCGCACATACACCCGCATGCGACGTCGGTTTTCTGGCCAGGACTGTACCACAGCGTGCGTCGATATGTCGCTACTTGCGACCTCGGCCAGCGCCGGAAAAGACCTTCTTTGCTGCCAGCTGGATATCTTCGCCCAATCGAAGTCCCCTCTGAACCATTTCTTCGCGTGGGACTCGACCTTCTTGGCTTTTTTCCGACGACGACACTGGGAAATAAATGGATCGCCATCGCCACAGATTATGAGACCCGTTACGCGATAGCAAAGGCCATGCCAATCAGTTGCACCATTGACGTCGTGAATTTTTTTCTTCATGATGTCATCTACACCAAGGTGCACCTCGACAGCTGCTTACGGACCGCGGCCGCTCTTTCTTGTACAAAGTTGCCGACGACCTTCTTCGATCGTGTGCTACAGCGCATAAGCTATCTACCGCCTACCATCCACAAACTAATGGCCTAACTGAACGTCTCAACCGCATACTTACAGAGATGCTTTCGATGTACGTCTCCGACGATCATCGTAACTGGGACACCTTGTTGGCCTATGTGACTTTCGCATATAATTCCTCTCGTCATGACACCACGGGATTCTCACCTTTTTATCTTTTGTATGGTCGCGACCCCATATTGCCATTTGAAACCACCTTACCTCTCAAGCCATCTGCTTCTGAGTACACTTGCGAAGCCATTTATTGGGTCCACATGGCTCGTCGAGTTGCCCAGTCTCATCTCACCAGGTCACAGGATATGCGAAAAGCCTGCTACGACCACCGGCATCGTAATATAATGTTTGCCCCAGGTGACCACATGCTCCTCTGGTCACCGTGTTGCCATGTAGGTCTCTCCGAAAAACTTTAGTCTCGATACACAGTAATCTATCTATAGTCTTGTAGGTCTCTCCGAAAAACTTTTGTCCCAATACACAGGACCCTATTTAGTCTTAAGTCAAGTTAGCAATCTCAAGGACGAGATAACGCCATCGCACTCCAATATGTCACCAAGTTCGTCACTTGTTGACATCGTCCATGTTTCACGCATGAAACCCTATTTCGGTCGAGAGGGCGCTCCAGCGCCCGGGGGTCCTGTCACGGAAATGAAGTAAAGGAAGAGGAAGGACTCAATCGGGTGAGAGGCGTGCGAGGGGGCCAATCAGCCATTGTGACTCTTGCCTGTGGTTTTTCCTCTGTAAAAGCATTTTGTAGAGAAGTCACTAATCTCGTAACAATATGTTACAGCCCCATATGTAAAAGCTAGGACTATGCGGTGCTTGTGTACGTTTCGCTTTAATGATAGTGGCAGATTTCCTGACATTGTTTGGTAGTCGTATTGTAAAAAATTTCAAGCAACCTTCACTCTCGCAAACACTCACACATCTACCTGAGTGACACACACGACTCTACTTGCCGTATGCACTCCAGCCCATTATTCCTCTATGGTTCTGCCATTGATTGCTCTACTTTATTTTATTTATTACATAGCTGCATCGCACCAGTGGGCCTTATAGCAGGGAGGTTACAGTCAAAAAGTAACAAAGTAATGACACTCAATAAACGCAATAAAGCACCTTGTTGTCTGAAATGTTCACAATGTCAGGCAATTGAGCATTGCATTCTCTTATGGCTCTTACAAAAAAAAAAAGGGAGACACCTCATAATAAAGTTTATTTTTTCATTTTTGGTTTGCCTATGGGGGGTTCTGTTGTTCCTTTCCAAGAGTCAGTACCAACTGCCTTTTCCCAATTTTTGTTCCTACCTTTGCATTGAAGTCTCCCTTGATCATGTTGTACCGGGTGCACCCTTGTCTCACGGCTACTTTGATATCCTCATATGGCTGTTCTGTATTCAAGACTAAATGTGGGGCATACACCTGCGCTTGTTTAGTTTTATAAAAAGGCTCGCTACCCTTCGTACGTACTAGGAGAACTCTTGAATGTTGCCTGCGAGGTCTTTGTAAATAAAAAAATTCTTGCTTATCTACGAAATGAATGATAAGTGGGGCAAAGCGCCGTCAATCCGTCTGTGCTTCCGTCCATCCGTTGGTTCGTGCATCCGTGCATCAGTCCATCCGTACGTGCATCTGTTCGTCCATCTGTCCATCAGTGTGTCTGTCTTGTTCGTCTGTGTGTGTCCGTTCATCTGTCCGTCCATTTGGTAAGCACTTCAAGTACCGCCATCTTGCTTCTTTTTATGATATATTGATCATATACAAGTACCGCCATCCAGCAGCCAATCCAAGGGCGAAGCGAAAGCATGTACCACATTTATGCTCTGAGCGCTTTGTTAACATGGAGGGCGGGATAACGACGCCGTGCTACATTTTTCTTTCGTAACATGTAGATATGTGCCCGAAGGCGGGTATGTGCCACTGGTATATGGGGATGTGCCACAGGTTATACACTACAACAGCGGGGTATGCACAAGCCACGCCTTAGGGAGCTTCGCCCCTAAAATCCGACGGCACGTTCTCTCTTGTCAGGCAGTCCTGTATAGCATTTGACATGTCTGCTATTTTGCTATGGTGTATGCCTCCCTGATTTCTTTAACCTCGCTAAGGCCAATAATATCCCTCATAATATTTTCTAGCCTCTGATGCAACTCTTCAGCCTAGTTTTTCCTGATAAGGCCCTGGTGTTAAATGTTCCAAGGTTGCTTCCAGTGGCAGTCTGGTCAAGTCCAGAAATGTTGAGTACCCTCTGCTGCTTTTCATGCTCGACCACTGTCGTGGTTCAGCAGCTGCTGAAGTCTGAGTGTGTAATGAGGTGGGAGGTGCTGGCCAGTGTCACACACTAGGGTGGCCAATTCTTGTTTTGCCTAGAAAGCGAACAAGCATAAAAAGAGTGGGGTGCTTCGGGAGCGACCAAGTGACAACATAAAGGAAATACAAACAGTCACTACTGCTTGTTGAAAAGAAAAACATAGTTCAAACTGAAATTTATGACGCTGTGAACTTTGTTTCTAAGAAGTCTAGCAGAGTGCTTTAGATGAGTGCTTAGTTTCAAGCAATTTTTCATTACCTTATTCTGGAAATCTGGGAGCTTCATGAAGGTGGGACGTAACCGACCTTTAATGTTATTGCCAGGTTTGTGGCTTCTTTTGATATGTGGAGTGACTTGGAAGAAATTGCAAATTATTTATTGTGATGTCTGCTCATACGGTTTCCCTCCACATTTTCTGCTCGCAGGCGCTGGGCCAGTAGTGACAGCAGTCACTCATCAGCAAGTGGCCAGCGGCAGCGCACCTTCAAGAAAGTGGTCAGTCAACTCTGCAGACACTAATGAGAAAGCATATAATACTAAGGCAGCGAAGGCGATGAGCAAATTGAATCAGTTATTGCAATAGGAATAATTTTGTGATTATTGAAGAGTCCCTGAAATTGAGTGAATTTTTACGTAGGACAGGCAGGTCACTGCATTAACCAGAGATAATTGGGGCATAAGAGATCGCTAACATGAGGTTGACCTTCTAGTCTATCTTTGCATTGTCAAGAGTGTAACTGTGAACCAAAATTCTATGAATTTGTTTCTTTGTAGTGGCATAGAAATGAAGAAATATGTCTGGGGATTGAGACATCGCACATCAATATTAGTGGTAGAGAATCTGTTAGCCACCTGTTGACTAACTTGCATAAATATGAATCAACTGCCTTAAGCGTTACCTTTCCCGTAGACCCCAATGTGTGCCAGATTGATAAGCGCACCGGTTAATGTGCATTGGGGGGCTGGTTGGTAAAACATTAAAACTGAAATAAAACTGCACCGTTGCAAGATAAGTTAGAGGTCAGGTGCAAAATAGCAACAGAATTTATTGAAAACATCAAACTTCCACTTATGACAACACACTCACAACATTATCTTGCGCTATATTCAAGGCCTCTTATCTGCCCTAAAAATTCAAGCTCTTTCTTGTTTGGATAAATAGAGGGTTCACTGACGCACTTCTCTGGGTAAAAGCTGAAGATTGCAGATGCTTCAAATATTTCACATGCCCTTCTTTAGTATGCTCCAACACTCTTGTTTGCCGAAGGACTGGCTTGCAATTAGCACATGACCTATAATATAGTGCCAAGTGTTATCCACAATTTAAAGCTGCAGCATAATATTGCGTGAACGACGAGTCGCTTGCACCTGTAGACTATTTACAAGACATATTTACAGCATCGGTTGCTCAGTTTATCACTTCAGCTCAAAGAACGAACAGTGAGTGACCTTCGCTCTTTTCGCTGGGTGCACACGCGCATGGTTCAGAAGGATGGCATAGTGTAGCATAATGCCCGGCAGCAGACGCGCCCTCTCGGTGTACCTCGACATCAGCGTCACTGGAAGAGTTGTATTGCTTAGTGCACATTGTGTTTTCCGGAGCCCTCCATTACGGCGTCTCTCATAATCATATAGTGGTTTTGGGACGTTAAACCCCAGATATCAATCAATCAGTGCACATTGTGTACCTTATCGCTGGCCTGCAGGGAGGATGAAGATTACGAATTGACTGGAGCAATTTAGTATGTTACGGGAGTCGAAGTACACTATATGGACTTGTGTACAGAGAGAGCAGTTTTTCATCTTTATTATCCTTATTTATTGAATAAAGGAGAAGCGTTGCCTTCACTGAGTGGTGGGACACTGATGTGCAGTTGTGCCCCGCTACTGGTTGAAGGTATTGTTTCTTTCGTCGCGTCTTTCCGAGTCAAGTGGAAGTCAAGTAAGGATGCCCTTGACCGAACTCTGAATGCGTGATCCGGTGCCTTACATATACGGGGTGGCCAGTGAATGGTTGTGCGGCGTGAGCAGTCGGTTTTTTCTAGCAGGCGCTGCCTGCGTCGGCCTTGCGGGGTGAGAGAGAGGATGAGCGATAGTTGCCACGAGATGCGAGCATGCGCAGTGCTGGTGTCAACGGCTTTCCCGACACCGGATTTGTGAGTAGGTGTGACTATGAAGTGCTCCACATTTAAAACTGACTTCAGTACAGCGGTGTTCTAGTGGTACAGCAGTGGCGGGAGACATGATTAACTCAGCGGCAATGGAAGCAGATGGGTTTGTCATCAGGAGTTCGCTGGATTAGGGATCCTGCAGAAAAAATACGGCTCATGGCGAGATGCATTTATTGTTGTTGGTTGGTAGCCGGGTTGAAAGGCGAAAGGAGACGGGCAGACAGAGGTTGGCGATTTCTCGCCGCACGATGGCCTGAATAACGACTGTGAAAGGATGCTTGAACAGCAGTATGTTTGATTGGAGATTGGTAGAATGGTGCTAGAATGTTGCTTAAAGCTTCTGCCAAACTGTACACATCACTGTCTTTTCAAAGTGCGATGTTGCACGGATATTAGTACAGGTTGGTGTGACTGCCATGTTTTGTAGCCAAGAAAATTCAAGTATGACGCAATAGTTTTTGGCCATTTTGAAGCAGTAGCATTCTTGTAGGAGGAGGTCAAAGGTATAGACATTGGTGCATGTGAACAAATTGAATGCGTCGTCTGCGATCCCCTCGAGAATGTGATTCATCTTGTCAACTGGCCTTGTTCAGCTTAACGGCACAGAGCAAGCATTTCCTGTAACTGTGAGACCTCAATTCAGTTGGCGACTGGACACAAGGTTGCAAGCTGTTTCTGTATAGTCAGATTCCCAGAAATGTCACAGAGCTTCTCGTTGAAAGTATCTCTGCTGGCGAGCTGAGTCTCACAAGTATTGTACCAGGCACCCGGGGTTCCTCCCAAGTGGGAGATGAAATTCGTGAGCGTCATGGTCCCACAGGTGATTTTGACTAACCGGCAAATGAAGATAACGTCATTGTGAATGTCAGCCGCCTTGGTAACACACATTGTGTGAGAATTACGTTCAAAGGGGACTGTCTCCCCTCCCATGTGATGGTTGGCCACTTTCGACACCAGGTCCGACCATTTATTCCAAAACCTATGCGATGTCATGAGTGTCAGAAGATCGGCCATGTGCAGGGAGCGTGCAGGAACTCCGAAGTGTGCCCCCGATGCTCAGAACCACACACCGAGGACAAATGCAGCGCAACCATACTAAAGTGCCCTAATTGTCAAGGTGCCCACAGTGCATCTTCCAAAGACTGTCCACGCATAAAGAAGGAGTTTACTATTCTTAGACAAATGGTGCGAGACAGCTCTACTCACAAAGAGGCCGCGGAAAAAGTCCGGCGAAGACAACGACGCCACCGTCGAAGATCTTCGCGAAGAACACAGTCAACTACAAGAAGTAAGTCATCGTATCTGGGAACGGCGCCCTCTGCAGGGTACACCGCGGCGAACGCAGACGATGGAAGAGAGAAAACAAGTAGATCTCTCTCTACTGAAGAGTGGCTGCCACTTACGCGCACGCAACTTGTGAAAGAACCGCATCAGAAGCCGCATTCATCAGAGCAAGCTGCGACAACAGAGGAGCAGCGGAACTTGGATAAGCAAGTGATTGCTCTTCTACGACCCATAATTAACGCTATTCGCACGGTGTTAAACAACATGCGTACAACGTCAGCCAGAAGTGCACTTCAAGTACTGGATGCTCTGAGTCCAGTACTGGCAGGCTCTTGAGTAGATAATGGCCCACCAGCCACTGTCTTTCAGGAAAGAGGTCAAAAAAGCAACAATTTTTCAGTGGAATGCACGGTGACTGAAATCGCGCATTGCAGATTTCCGTTAGGTTCGTTTCCACCAATATGTTTTCCATCATCGTCATCTGCGAGCCAAATTTGTCGAGCGCTATCAGACTCTCCGGATACGAATCATTTATGTCGGCTTGTTATAGTGGGAACAGCAAGGTCCTGCTGTTTATTCGACGTGACCTGACCTACATTCTTCGGCCTGTACCACCTGACAACGATAACCAATATATATGCTTAACAGTGAAGAAAAAGGATCTTATTGTCACTGTTGTCGGTGCATACCTGTCGCCATCAAGTAGATTTGACCACAGAAGACTAGGACACATCCTATCATCCACTCCTGGCCCATGGGTGATCATCGGAAACTTTAACGCCCACCATACGCTATGGGGGAGCCCGAAGATCAGCGCAAAGGGTAGAAGTCTGATAACGTTTGCTTCAGACAACGAGCTGTGCTTGTTAAATGATGGCAGCCCAACATTTTTACGTGGCCCTGGATACAGCAGTTGCCTTGACTTGGCTTTTGTTTCTCGAGGTCTCGTCAGATGTGTCGGATGGTTTGCGGATATAGAAACACATGGGAGCGACCACATTCCCACGTATGTCAAGATCAGAGGATTATCACCTTGCAAGGTATGCGAAACTATCCAAAGAGTGGACTGGACCAAGTTTGAATCTCTCATGGAAAAACGCTGTCAAGAGAACACCTCATTTGAATTAGAAGAGGTGATGAAGTCCACAGTGCAAGACACAGTGTGCACCCTCACATGCTCTTCGGGAGCAATCGAATTTGATGTGGAATTAGAACGGCTTCGGGCTCTCTGACGGCGTGCGGAACGAAGGTACCGACGCACGAAAGCAATCGACGATTTACGAATCGCTAGACGTCTTCAGAAGAAGATACAACGCCGCATAGACAAGCTAGAGTCACAACGTTGGGCAGCCTTCTGCGGTTCGTTAGATCCTCGCAAGCCTTTATCACACTTGTGGAGGACAGTAAGAGGACTCCGGACAGCTCCCATTCAGCGGTCTCCATTCAAGGCTCTAGCCCTCTCTCAACAGAGATCGGAGGTCGACGTGGCAGAAGAGTTCTGTGCCAACTTATCTGGTCAACTCGCAGATCCCAACATCTCCACGCTCTCACGTGGTGGCACGACATCACACGATCACCACATGGACCAATTTTTTTCCATTCACGAGCTTAAAGCAGCACTGGCTTTGTGTAGACAGACATCAGCACCCGGGCCTGATGGAATATGATACAGAGCACTGTGTCACCTTGGTGAGTGCGCGAGGAGCGCCCTCCTCGAGATATACAACGATTCGTGGCGAGAGGGCACCCTCCCAGTTAACTGGAAGACCAGCCGTTTGGTTCCATTACTGAAGCCTGGCAAGTCACCATTGGTGCTCACATCATACCGCCCGATTGCACTGGCTAGTTGCTTGGGCAAAGTGATGGAGAGGATGGTACTTTGACGGCTAGAATGGTTCCTGAGCATCACAACATCTACCCGGACGCTATGACGGGATTCCGCCGTGGCCGGTCATCAATTGATAGCGTCATAGACCTGGTCAGCTACGTGCAACACGAAAAAGGCCGTAAGCGTCTTTGCGCTTCTTTATTTCTTCATGT